TCTGCAGCTGTCAAAAAGGCCAACAGTGATTACAAACCAATATGACAGCACTTGGCATAGGCTATGAAAGACCTTTTGACACCAGAAACAATAAAGCTCCACTTTGATACAAATTGTTTTCTATCAATCAGGTACATCAGCCAACTTTGTTTAGTCCAAAAGCACAAGGCCACATCTTTCACTACTGTTCTTGCTTGCATCAGCTACAGGTGTTGCCTATTTTTACTCCAGGACAAGGAAGAAGACTGCTTATCTAGTAGCTGATCTCTTAATTTTGACTGTTTGATTCTAGAATAATATTTTTATAAAGGATCACTTCTAGCTGTTGGTCCCTAACACTCTGCCTGGTCTCTCTGACCAGGAGATGCTCGTATCACAGCCACTGCTGTCCTGCAGCAGCACATTCTCCCTCAGCTGGGCTAAGCAGCAGCCATTTATGAAGAAGATCATCCAGGATCTTAAGCTGCTCTCTCTTTCTGGTCACTCCTATGCCACCAAGAGAACAGCAACCAGCCTCTGTCACTAAAACACTAAAAACATCTTAGTAAATCCTGAACTAGTAAAGGCAAATTGTGGTGGTCTAAAGAACAAATGCTGTAAGCTCCAAACAAAAAATAACCATGTAAATTTAGAGGACCTCCCATGCTAGGTCCCTTCCAGATCCAAGTCTTGACAGTTGCACCTTCCACCCCAGACCCCATAATGGATCCCAAAGCTCAGCATCTGGAAGCAACACCCTGTTCCTTCCCTCATTTTCTCAGATTTCCTTCTACTCAGTTCCTAGTTCTGAGGATCTCTCCTTCCTGGGCTAGGAATGGGGAAGGTGCCTTTTGTTGTACTATTTTATTCAGTAAACCTATCATGATCTGTCCATCATCAATAACAATTTAAACTTAACTAGACCTGGTTATTTGTCAAAGAACTGCTGGGATCCAGTCAGTAACTGTGATGCAGTAGCTGTGGAGAGCTCATGCTCACTCAAGGAGGCTTTGCCTGAAGAGCCACTGCCTCATTGCAAGTTCTCATGGTTTCTCTGTCAAGCCCCATTGCAATTACTTACACACTGTGTGCTGGTGATGCTGACAGAGCTGGAGATGAACGTTAGCCCGTTGTTCATGCTGACTTGTAGGAAAACGACCCTAAAGCACAAAACAGATACATTTATTTTTAGTGTCATTTTTATACCCATTGTTACCTTTATTCTGGCTGTGGTTTCGCCATCGGCTCATGAGCACGCATGGATAGCATGTCCTGCTGAGTCAAAGCATTTTCATGGCTTCAGGTGCTCACCTGCACTTGTGCTTCTGCTTGCCCAGGAACTACCCTTTTTATGTTGCTGTATTTGAGTTGGGGCATATGCTCTTTACTAAAAACCCTCCACCCTACCTGGGGCAAAGGGCACTAGGACAACAAGTCATAACTTAAAGTCTCAGACATTTGCAATAGCACCCTAGAGAGCACAAGAAACTTTAAGACTTTTTTTTTTATTGTTTTCAAGCTCCTTCTGCAGCTTAAAGAACCAGAATGTGTCTTATTTTATAGCCAAACAAATCCAGAATACCCACACTGAGGTCAAAGGTAATAGCACTGAAATGACAGTGCTATTCTCTCATTCTCTCGTATCAGAGAAATGGTCTGAGAAGAAATAAAACAAATCCCAAAATAAAAACAAAAAGCCCCAAACAAACTAAAAAAAACCCCAAACCACAACACAAAAGAGCCAACAAAAACCCCCTCAACAAACAACTTTCCCTCACCCACAAATAGGAAAGGGGAAGAAGGCATTCTCCCTCACTCCCAGTATGGTATTTAAACACACACAAGATCACTGAGAGGGAAGGTAGAGCCTTGTGCCATGTCTCCCAGGAGTCTGCACAATTAAAACAGCTGAAAAATACCAACACTAGACAGGGCAGGGCAAAACGCAGGAATCAACATCTACAACAGCAGCAAAAGAATTCATATTGAGCACCTCTTTTCAATCAAATTCATCTACCTCTTCGTTTGAAAAAACAGGATATAGGAACAGAGGACAAACCACTGTCCTATAATATGGGTCCGTGGCCCAACAAGACCTTTGGTTAAACTGTTCTAAAGACCCACAGCATTGAATACAGCTATGCTTGCTCATACTAGGAAAGGATTTTGCATAAAGGGGGTGGCTGTAATCCTGCCACACACACCAAAATTTATTAGCTTGGTGCTTTGGGCAAAATTCTGAGCCCCTGCCTCAGTAATGACATCCTCACCCAGAAATCCACTCTCTCTTGACACGTGCTAGCAAGCAATACTTACTGTCCAGCATCTTCTATCACTGGGGCAGGACAAAGTAAGTAAGTATCATGAACAAGGGTTGGCTTTTCATCTGAAAAGAAATTAATATAACTGTTAGTGATGAAAAAAAGAAATTTTACCAAGCAGGCCACCCCTTGGAGAAGTGTTGACACCAAATGAGAGCCATAGACAAATTCAGTGTATGGGCAAGTACAAACATTCCCCAGTGGTACTGATTACAAAGCCAGCTGCTAGGATGACCATTCTTATTGATGCCAATACAATGTCATTAGGCTGGAGATACCACATCTAAAGTATGTAAGTATATATCTATTCCAGACAGCAGTGATCAACCAGTTGGAAGCCAGCTTTGGGCAATCTTCATCTTGTCTTTCTGAAAAGTGCAATGCAAACTCTATTCATACTGAATACTCTGACCCCACAAGTTACTCAAGGGGTCAAAAGCACAGGGTTCAATTTTTGCCCACCCACTTCGAAACACACATACAGGAGAAGTCAAGGCTGCACTGTTTGAGCTCAGGGAAAAGGAAGGACAGAGGTGGGGTAAAGCTGAAGTGGACAGGCACTGAAAAAAACCCCAAACCACATGATTGGGCATATACGGGAGACAGGCAGAGAGGCGCCATGACTGATGTTACCATGAGGACCTATCCTACACTAGCTGCTGCTTCTCCAGTCCCCAGCCTCCCTTCTGAGGCAGCATCATCCGCAAATAGCCCATGTTTATAAGGGTTTGGTGCAAGCAGAGTCAAGAGCAAGGCCACGGATGTTTTCCCACCTCCTTGCACTCCAGCAATGCTAATCCAGTTGCTTTCACAAGTCACATCCAGAAAGCTATGTCCCATGAACACAGAGAGGAGGCCCAGCAGTAATCCTGCAATGCCACTCCACTGAAAATGTGTAAGCTATGGCACAGGAGCAGAGAGATCACTGCTGTGACTTCAGCTTAGCTCTGAATGGCCAGCAAAGCAGTTACAGTGCTAGTCTACAGAAAGACTAGTTGACAAGACTCCAACCCAAGTGAATAAGGGGCTGGTAAAAGCTGCTAATTTATTTATGATTTAGAGGCTTGATTACTCTTTCTACCTAGGAAAGTAATAATAAGCAACAACAGAGAATTGTTTCTTCATGCTTCACTCCAAGCCCACCCAAACACAAAACTAATTTCCTTGCTTTGGCAGAGATGAGGCAATGGAAATCATAGTGATATGTTTTAGGGCCAACCCGAGGGCAAAAAGCCAACCAGCATAGATCAGTATCTCATCAAAACATCTGCTGCAGACCTAATGCAAGGAAAACACAGCACAGAGGAGATGGGGAATGAGGGCAGTTTTCCTCCTGTGTATTTCTAGGGTCAGGTCAGCATTCACTGTATGAAGTCCAGTCAAGGTGCTAATGGATTAGGGACAAGGAAGAAAAAGCAAAAGTGTCTACCTGGTAAACCACAAGAAACAAATCCCTGGAAAAGGGCATCTCTAAGTGGAATGACAGTGAGACCACCAATGTTTATTTAATGCAGCCTCCACATAGGCAACCAGGATGGGAAATGAAGGAGCGATTCATGTGCTCCCTCTTCTAAGTGAATGCCAGGGAAGGCACCAGTCTGACCATGACAGGATAAGAAAGCCTCTACTATGCTCAGCCAACAAGGGTAGCACATACAGAAAAGGAGCAAAGCTCCCCTCCCCACACTATGCTTCACCCTGCCAGACATACACGGCTTCTCAGGAATCAGAGAAGACTGCTGAGAAACAGGACACTCAATCTTTTTTGGCCATTCAGTCCTTTGCCTGTATGCATAGATAGCAAACAAAAGGCTGTTTAGTACAGCGATGACAGGGAGTTTCTGTGTTACATGCTCACTGCAATGAGACCAGCAACTAGTATCAGAGAGGAACAGAGCAGGCCTGGGAGGGCCCTGCTTTGTGGTGAGTGTCTCCTGAACTGCTGAATAAAGACTCTGAAAACACCACTGTCAGATCAAGATAGCATTATTTCTTTTTACTGGTGATGAACAAAGTAATAGGGAGCAATTTTATTTCTCCCTTTTAAAACCTTACACCGAGTCCTCACTGGCTGTATGTCACCCACTTGTATCATTACAATGATGCTGAAGTTCATTGTGCAGCAGCATGCCCCACATAAGCACTCACGACACAATGCCCATACATCACAGGATTGAATAAGGATTAATTTCAAGCTTCTGACAGGTACAGATTCCTACCCAACTACTCCCACATCCACTGCAAGGACTCTCCTCAACAGATGAGAGTTGGCCTGTGTCCCATGAGGTGACAGTCACAGGGGGCACTGGGATCCGCCATCCTGCAAACTTACTGATAGTAAGGCTGTCGTTGAGCTTGAAGCTGCAGAGTACCTGGTCAATATTTCTTGCATGATAAAAGCCATTGCCTCTTACCACAACTTGAAAGGATTCTGCAGGTAAAAATACCAGAGAGTTATGAAAAAACTCAAATACAGCATTTCAAATACAGATCCAGAGTGATGTGAAGTACAACATGACAATGGCTGTTCTCTGTCCTATGCCTGAAACAAAACATTCGTATTGTTACTCTATTCAGTAGCAAAGGCCAAGAATGCTATAGTGACATTAGTGCTGCACAGAGCCTTCTCTTTGTCTGAAGTTTGTTCCCACAAGCATAGCACAGACCCCCAGTGCCTTAATTAAAGGTGCCGCAGTAATACTGTAAGTCTGACTTGGCTGATGTCATCTCATGGTTTCTCCATGGCCTTTGGGACAGACACCTTTGCTAACCATAAGCACCAGTCCTTCCTCCTGTCCCCACAGCAGATGGCACTCAGCTTGCAACAGCAGTTCTGTTCTGGCACATGCCGACAAACAAGATTCCCCTTCTAAGCCCCTGTGAATCAGAGACAAAGCTTTGCATCTGGTACAAGCCCTGGAAAAACACAATCCTTCTGCCCATAAAAGAGCTGAGCCTTTGCACAGCCCCACTAGCATCTGGGGTGCATGGAATAACTAAGGACCCAGGCGCTGCCATCTTCTTTGTGCTTATGTATCCTCCATACCCCTGCCCCAGCAGCAGAAGCCACCAGCAGCACAAGAAGAGACATGCCACATAATCAGACACACTCTCTGATGGCCAGAGCATGTGCTCCTAAACCTGCTCTTCATCTGCTCTCACAACTTCTGTTCCTTTGATCCTGATAGGGTGGGTACCTGTGACTTTTGTCATTATCATGATAAGCAACTGTGATTTGCTCAGTCAAGCAGAAGACTCATCATCTGTTTTTTCACCAAACTTTTCATTAGTCTTTATACCGATAAAGCAGTTTCACATTTGAGTAAAGCTAGTCTAGGAAATAATTCTGCTGTCAGAACTAAGATTCCAACTGCACATGCACTGTTGGCACCACCAATCATGTCGCAGTGCACTGACCTTGCTCACACACCTGAAAAATAACCCTCTGTTTGTTGCCAGAGAGATCAGTAAGGTGATCTGCCTGGCTGAGCATCTGCTGGGAGAAGTATGCAGGAGAAGGGAAGGGATGGAGATAAGTAGTGTCCAAGCTAGTGTCACTAGCTTGACCTAGAGTTGCTATACCCAGTAGTTAGACAGGGAAAGTAATTTGAGGGAGAAGGTTTGTTTTCTCAGCTTCTCCACAGCAAGCTCTTAAAACTATTTCTTAGTAACTTTTAAAGGAAACACTTCTGCTCAGAGCTCTAACAGCAGCAAACACAAACGTTTGCTGCTCTTCCTTCCTGGCTGCACACAGCCCAACACTGAGCCACGCTCTCCTCCATACTCATCATCAAGTACTCAAAACCCACATTCTGGTTTTCTTCATGGCAACTTTCCTTAAAGCAGTGCTCTGAACTAACACAGGCTGCAAGGAACATGGGAATCAGAGATGATATTTTGGGAGGGGGAAAAAAAACCCCATCTACTGGAGCACATAGCAAAGTGGAACACACGCTTTGGCACTTTGCTGAAGAAAGATGATCAAATATGAAACCTCACTGAGTACATCCAGAGCCAACATCAGAATTTGGCCTCTTTAAGGAAGGATTATATCTTCTGGTTCCCACTGGGGGTAGCAGGCACTTCTTCAAATAAATAAAAATGGAATGTAAGGCAGATTCAGCTGCTTCTTACTCCAGTAAGAATCTAGAGTTACTCTAAGTCTGATTCATGCCTTGAGCCTTTTCCTCATCTAACCCAGTTGATATACTGAGAGTTATTCTTGATGAGCATCTCTTTTTTTTGGCAATAAAGCCAGGAGTCATGGCCAGTCCTGAGGGCAACTGGGCCTCTGCCCATCTGCCTGGGACCAGACATCACCCCAGACTTTTGTAGCCAGCCCATGCTGCAGTACTTGAACACCCAGCTGAGATAATTTCTTTCCCCCACCCCGTCTCAATTTGATATGCTAAAAGTAGCTCACTGAAACAAAACAGCACTTAGGTTCTACACCTTCTCCTCCCTCCAATTGTCTTAAAAGGCAGCAGCAACCACAGAGGTTCAACTGATAGTTATTTCAGTGGCTTTAAAAAGATGCAGCAAGCAAGAGACTTTCATCTCAAAACATCAAAGGTAAAAGCTGCATCTAGAAGTTTAGTCTTGTCAAGACAATTTACCTTTCCTGCCCTTCTTTTCACAGTCACTGCCACTCTGCAGTCAGTTGTGAACAGTAACCTGTCCACCAACACAAGCTGACAATATAGTTTCAATATCAGACCTGCACGGAAATATAAACAGCTGGTACTGGGTTTGGTTGTTGCTGTTAAGAAGCCTGCCCCTTCAGATGCTCCGGCGTATTAACGTGTTCTGGATGATGGTCTGTTGAAATGGCTAATTCCATTTAATTTTGCGCCCTGGCTCTGGCTGCGTCCTTTTCTTCCTTAGTTACTGTCAGATTGTAGATTGTAGCTTTTGACAAGACAGCGAAGGGAAAAAAGGTCAGCACTGAAATAACCGGGCAGCGCTGGCAGCGAGATGGTAGGTTGAAGCTGGTGTGCGCTGGCTGCGCTGTCGGCTTCGCTTCTGTGACTCTGATGAGAAGCTGACGGCTTGCATCCACACCTGGTAGTTGATGTGGCCAGTAGGATGCCACATCCAACAAATCCTTTCAATCCTGCCTGTGTACCGTAAGCATAATCAAAGCAATGATGCTGTCAAACAGGATATGAGGCACCTCCGATTCTGCACTGATAGCCTGTTTACAGGCTGCATGTCGGTCACTTTAAATCAGAGTACACGAAGGACCCAACTACACTGCTCCACACTGGGGACAATGAATTTGCAGGGTCAAAAAGCATTAAGCATCAGATAGCTGTCACAATGCAACGAGATCAATTTGTAAGTAGACTTGCCAGATAGCTTCGTCACAGAGAGCCAGAGTCTCAAATGGAATTGACGCCACATGGAAATCATTTCATCAGCATTTTACTAAACCTCTGGCAAATCCAAAATGAAGCAGAGATTACCAATAATCACCAACAGAGTAGTAATTATGAGTTGCAAGAACAGTTACAAGGAATGGGTCAGATCCATTGTGACTGGCTTCCACTGAGCAACAGAAAGCCCTCATGATCTCATACCAGATTCTAAAAATTAGTAATAATGCTAAAAGCAGCCAAACTGATTATCACTTCCTCACTCAGATAAGTTTTATACAAAAAGCTCAGACAGAGCCACTTTTCAAAGTCATAAAGAAGCAAACTTCTTTGCTGGAGAATGTGATACTATACTGCACTCTTTCAGAGGGTCTACTATTTTTCAATCAAAGTTTTGGAATGCAAATTTCCATTACATACTAATAAAAAACCTCTTAGAAAAAAAGCGGGAGAAATGTTGCATTTCTAGAAAATCTTAAGTTCTAGAAAATCTTATGTTCTTGTTTTCAGGTAAAAGCAGGTTTATACATTTTTTTATTATTATATATATTATTT